TGGCACAGATATTCCGAGATACTTTCGGATCCAAGCTGCTCACCGATCCTCTCGACACTCATCCGGTTCGCTCGAGTTTTTGAGACAATGCTACAAAATTACAACTGCAGTCATATATTATTCTTTACAAAGTGGAATTTTTCAGCTCGTTGAGGATCAGCCGTTGCCATCACCATATGCTCTCCGGCATAAAATTATAATTAAAGCAAAAAAATCGAAGCCTCCAAGGATTCAGCGGAAAAGTGAGTAATAATAAAAGCAAGGATAAACGCTTTGTTTGGTCAAGGTCGTTTGATTTCACATATTATCTTTGTAATTAGGGCAGGAGGTGGTGTAGTTACAAGTGGCGCGCTCACCACTCGCGCGGTCCTGGGTTCAAATCCCGGGTCGAAATCCCGGGACGGTAAATTGGTACCAGATTCGTCTGGGAGGATAAAACACTGACTTGTACATCGGCTGGCCACCGCAAGTCATTGTATAGGCCACATCGCATTCAATACGATTCTGAATGGAAGTAGAATGCGTGCCGCATCCCACAAAGGGATTGATCAACGGCGAAGACTTTATCCTTTTATCCTTTTAAGTGAGATTTTCAACAGAAATCTCTTCTCAATGAGATTTCAGGGGTGATTCGAAGAGGTCCTTCAGTTACCGTTTAGCAAGTGCTTTCAGGCGGGGATTGAACAACTTTTCATACACTCCCTCTGTGCTCATCAGTAAAGGATAGGAGGAGTAATGCATTCTGTATTGGTCATTTCATTCCTTATAATCGTTGAAGTTAGTCCCAATTGCTATCAGTCATAACCTTTATAAGTATATATAAATACCCCCAGAAACTATATGATTCATACCTGTACCTGTAAGGGGTGATCATGGGCCAACCTGTGAAGGTTCCTCCAGATCCTTGCAAATTTGTTTTTTTAATGGAGTGCAGTCTCTACAATCGGCTTCAGAACTTACCATTCTCTCGGCAATACTTCTTCTCGTTCCAGATCAGCTCTCAGAAGAAGCGTCCGGTAGTCTTGCATCGGAAGGTTCGTTTGACAACCTTCCTCAATTAGCTCCTGATCGAAAACCGAGTATTCCTCCCCTCAAAGCGGTGAGTACATGATTTGCTCAGGATAAGTCAACAGTGCGAAAATGACCACATGGATAAGTTGAGTCATAAACAAGCGCAGAGTTGTACAGTTGGCACACGGGTTGCCAGGGTGCTAAAAGCCTGAATTTCGCTGAACAGTGCCCGCCCTTCGGAATATCAATCCCCTCACCCCCTAATAGGTGAACCGCACTGTTAAGGGGAGGAGGCGCAGCCTATGGATGGCGTCTCTATAGATAGGAAAATTGTCAAGAATGTTCAGCAGAGCCGTCCGGACAGAAGGAAACAAGGGATCATTTAGATCCACTTCTTTAGACCCACTTTTTCTCTATGTTCGCATGATTCTCTTGAAACCGAGAAAGAAGGCACAACTTTAAGGGTACTGCATGGTTTAGGTTGCGTTATTGCTAGCGGGACAATCAGCAACATTCGCCAGTATGTGCGTGCTGCAGAGCCCACAAGGAGACATCAAGTGAAGCTGCGCACTGAAGTGAATCATCACTCAGCGCCGTCGCTTAGCTTTTAGTGGTCATACATCTAACTGGTAGACGGTTGAAGATGGGTCAGTGGCGATGGGACGCCACGTTACGTTTTTCTCTTCTGGACTCTCCTTCCAAGCATGTTTCCAGGGATAAGTTACTTGGTGCCAGACTACCATGACGAGGTACCAACATGATCACTGACTTAACACCAGAAGCCATCTCACGGGGCACATTCGTAGTTGGTGGTCCCTACGAGAAAGACCGGATCGTGTGTTGGGTCTTGGAACCTTGATAAACACCGACCATTCCATTCTTCCAGAAAATCATAGCGGTCTCGAAATATTTCTGCAACATAGTGGTCGGAGGGTACGGGAGTTTGGGATCAGAGTGGCAACACTAGAGAAGAGAGCTGCCTAGGTAGGGTTCACGAACAACTTGAACCCAACCCTTTTGAACGCGTCGATCTCCTCTTGATGATGTTGAATGATCTTTATTGGCATTCTCTCCCCCGCATGGCATTGGCGTCCACATTTTCCCAATTGTTAACTGCCTAGCAGCGCTCCAATTCACGCGCGTCAGGCTGCGTTCACACTTTGCTGCAGCGACCACCAACGTTCGCCAGCAGCCAGGAGCCTTTCGAGCGTCCACCAGCGACTAACAGTGTCCAGGAGGGACAGTATAGGGAGATAGGAGGGTAGCAGAGAGCTGGCTAGAGTATGGGGAGATAGGAAGGTAGCAGACTACTGGTAGAGGTAGCTGTCTGCTACCCTCATAGTTCCCCATACTCTCGAGTCCTTCGCGCTGCTGGTCGCTGGGACGCTGGTGGGTACTGGTGGTCGCTGCCTCAAAGTAACAGTGCAGCCTCACACGTCCTTTCGTTTGACCAGGGATTCTGACTGTACTCAAATGCATTAACAGAGTGTGTGGTATGCAAACGTCATGCATAAACAAGGCCTGAAGGCACAGGTCTGTCATGAAAAGTGAGAAGAGGCTATCATAGATCTTCGTCTTCATATAAACTTTTTTGAGTGACTATTGCCGTGCACCGAAATGATTGATTCAGAGCGAGCTAGCTCTACTGGCAGACGAAGTAGTAGAGCGACAGCTGTGCCCAGAGAAAGAAGAGCATTCGACAAGTGATCTCTCAAGGATTGTCAACTATCTTACAGCAGATAAGGTGCCTCACACATGGAATGGTGAGTGGTTCTCTTCTAGCTACTTGATTATGGTTCTTTATCCAGAATGAGTACCCAGCGATTGTGTCTTCGAAAGAAAGTAGTAGATTCGTACCACAAGAATACTGAGTTAGTTATGGGCAAAAGTCGAGCCGCAGTCGAACCCGCACCTCATGCGTTTTTCGGGAGAGTGCGCTAGATAGATTTATATAGGATTAGAACTTAGGAGGCGAATTCTATTTTTTTTAACAAGAAGCGATTATCAAATTACAGTGATCGGCGTCTTTTTCCACATGTGTTCGTTGAGCGAAGACGCTTCGATCAAAATTTATAAGGATACGGCACAACGGCAGGCTAACAACCTCATCAAAACATGCTTCAAAGAGGTTAGTTCGTGTGTTTCCAGCAAACATGCGAATCACCTCGGACAACTACCTTCCCTATGTAAGTGATTACAGGCTTTAAAATCAATCGGAGGAAACGTAATGAAAACAAACTCTACCTGGTACTCCGTCCCGTAGTATTTATTTATTGTGTACAGAATTGTTTCACTAGGACACCATTACTGGAGAAGTAAACGAACTATTGACTTATTTCAAAAGGCTACGTTCAAACTTTGTGGCAGCGACCACCAGTGATCATCAGTGATCATCAGCGTTTCCAGCGTTCGGCAGTGTCAGCGACTGGGAAAGCATAGATATACAGGGGGGGGGGGGCAAAAAAGTCACTTCGACCGAGTCACATATCAGCAAAGTTTTCGCTGCCCAGACAGAGGACGTGGATACGAGTACCAGGGCGGAAGATACCCAAGATGTTCCTCTATAAGCAGGAGCTGGCTCTCGCCCATCACCTTCATGTACACCAAAATATGAAGTCATCTCCAGTCGCAACCTGACTGGAGAAGACCTTCGGAACTCATGTCACCTCCAAAACTAGCTGCGAAACTTTCTAGTATGGATCCACGCCAATGATCAGCTAACCTGGAGACCAGTACTATTGCGATCTGGATGACACTGCCATCAATCAGAGCAGCTCCACAACGTCGCCACGGTCTAGGACATCATCTTCACCGCAGTCGCCAAGGCGCGGGTTGATGGTATGGACCGGACGTACCTGGAATGGAAAGACCAATATTTTCTTCGTGGACCCCGGACTGAAGGTGAGCGCTGGCGGTTACATTGGGCAACTCGTGAAGAATATCCTCCTCACATGTGGTCGCCCGTCTTGGAAACTTTGTACTGCTACAGCATTGAGTGCCACCACATGAAATCGAAGGGCGTTGGAGAAACACTCGCCTACTTGGAATGGAAGGGGGCTGAGTACCTAAAGAAGATGGAATATCTAAGTAGGTCACCTGACCTGAAATCCCCTCAATTACCCGGTTCGGGCGGAGTTCAATAGGGTGGTCTACGGTGAGAAATCGACTATCTCGCTGATCTCAGGGACCACATCGCGGTCGCGTGCCAGAATCTCTCGATGGCGCTCGTCCAGAAGGCTGTGGCGGAGTATTTAATATGCTCTTTAATATGGTGGTAGAAATGTCCGATCCAAAATTTTGATAAAGTGTAAGTT